CCCCTCCCCCCTCTCTCCCTCCACCTCCTCCCCCTCTCTCCCTCCACCTCCCCTCCCCCTCTCCCTCCCCCTCTCTCCCTCCCTCCCCTCCCCTCTCTCCCTCCCCCCTCTCTCTCCCTGCCCCTCTCTCCTGTCTTCTCTTCTCTCCAGTTGGGGAAAATAGAAATAAAAATCCCAGGAAAAGTCTGTTGTTGTTGAAAATGTGATAAAATTTAACGACCTTCCAAACAGTGCAGGGAAAGAGAGAGAGAGAGAGAGAGAGAGAGAGAGAGAGAGAGAGAGAGAGAGAGAGAGAGAGAGAGAGAGAAGGAGAGAAAGTGAAATCGAAGGAAGATAAATAGACAAAGAAACAGACAAATAGACACAGACAGATAAACCTCTCTCTCTCTCTCTCTCTCAAAATAAACTCATCCTTTGTACCAAAATTAACATCATGGAATAAATCTCTTGAGCTTGTGTGTAACTAATAAAATTATTAACTAGACATTAAACCATAGAACTGTGTAGGACAAACAGGCAATAGAATGACAATTAATACCTTCATTAATCCATGGAAATGCTATTATTGAAGCCTGGGAATAGGAGTTACTGAAGCTTGGGAATATTACTTATTGAAGGTTGGGAATATTAGTTACTGAAGCCTGGGAATATTAGTTACTGAAGCCTGGGAATATGTTACTGAAGCCAGGAAATATTAAGTTACTGAAGCCAGGGAATATTAAGTTACTGAAGCCAGGGAATATTAGCTACAGATCTGTAGTCGAAATAGATTCCCTCTTAGACGCTCAGATGAATCCGAACTGGTTAGGAGAACGGGATTTTAGAACTGGTGGAATAAAGACAAGGAACGTAGACGAAGCAGAAATAGGTGTAATCCAATAAACTTAACCATAAACAAAAAAAAAAGAAATGAGAAATATGTTCTAGAGACGATAGTACAGTAGTAGTGAAATTTGGGTGCTGCTATTGTACAGTGGGAGATGAAATTGTAAAGGAGTGAAAGTGTAACTATACTGTACTTCGCTTCCCACACTCACATAAATAATTGATATTACAATAACCAAAGCTCACTGTACGGTACTATAATCCAGGTATTTGCAAGCGTTGATTAAAGCCAAAATGATAAAGTGGAACTATAGCAATATGTGTTAAATGCAAAGTTAATAAATGAGACAAGAAGTAAAATAAATATTTTTATTTTGTATCTGACTTTATAAATGAGGTACAGTAATAGTATTGTATGATGGAAATACAGTAATAAATCAGATCTTGAGTTATTGTAATATACATCATATTTAAATTAATGTAACTGGGGAAGAGGAGTTTCAACAAGCAATTGCACAATGTTGATTAAACGGAAAGTGTAACAATTTAATATTAATGCTAAAGGAAATTGCAAAAAATATAACACACTCGACTCATTGTACGTATTTCATGTTGCAATCATTACAACGGAAGAGAATCAACTTATCAGAGATAACGATATATTGTTGGTTAAATGCAAGAAGAATCAGCTGAAGATTAGACACCCGAGGATATTTCACCTAAACATTGTTCACCCTAATGGTAAAATAATATTCCCTGCCCTAACCTAGCTTCTCCCCCCCTCTCTCCCACTCTGGGTAGTGTTAGCTTGGTTTATCTTCAGGTGATGTTGTAAACTGATTCGTTCATATTGTCATGCACTAAACAAAAGAAATAAGGTAAAATCTGCAAATTAAAATGCTAAGTGTGTTTCGTTTAATAATATAGGAGTTGAAAGTAATGTCCACAAAGGAAAATGAAACGGTAATAATTCAGAAAGTGTTGATCGATAGCAAAGTTATTATTTGAAGTTATATACAAAAATGAAATCAGAGTAAACAGATTATTGCGTCACTAGTTATAAGTTCTCATATAAATGCCAGAATTAATATTACCACCGACAATAAACAGAAACTCAGGTAATATCCATACAACAGTTTGAAATTATTGCAAAAAAGAAAAATGTAATTTGAAATCGAAGACAAGTAAAAATTTAATACTGCAAGTGTAAAAATGTCTGATTTACTGCAGTTTCCAACGTATCTGCTAAATTTAATGCAAAACAAAAATACATATATATTAAAAAATTATTAATCGTAAATGTTAATCAGACATACTTCAGTGAGTTGAAATATTAGACTTTTACAACTTTTAGATTACTGTACACTATTATAAAAGAGAAAATATTGCATGAATTATTGCATATAACCTTAATAATGTTGTAATTAAAAACTAACAACTCGAGTGAACTACACCACAAGCGATTTCATAACAGGTCCAAATCACATCTTTGAACGAAATTGAAGTTGAAATAGACACTTAATACAACGCCGACACGTTACCTCAACCTACACCAAAACACATTTATAAGCACCCATATTTACATGCCTATATGTCGTATAAAGAGCTATATATAGATGCCTATATGTAGTATACGTATATATGTAGACCACTTCTCTTAGCTGTAATGAGAACTATTTTGATATACATTTTTTTTCTAGTTCGTTTTAATTTTCCTTTTTGCTCTATTTTGACTCAACATTCTTGGGTAATGAACAGTTATCGAGTCTGCCAGTTGTAGCGGAACATCCATGCCGCCCACTGCTCATAGCTACCCACACCCTTGCCACCCAGTGCTCATAGGTACTCATACCCTTGCCACCCACTGTTTATAGCTACCCACACCCTTGCCACCCAGTGCTCATAGGTACTCATACCTTTGCCACCCACTGTGCCACCCAGTGCTATAGCTACCCACACCCTTGCCACCCAGTAGGTACTCATACCCTTGCCACCCACATAGCTACCCACACCCTTGCCACCCAGTGCTCATAGGTACTCATACCCTTGCCACCCACTGTTTATAGCTACCCACACCCTTGCCACCCAGTGCTCATAGGTACTCATACCCTTGCCACCCACTGCCTATAGCTACCCACGCCCTTGCCACTGTTACGCCGTCTCTTAATTTACTTTAATATCCAGGTTCTAGGCGTAACCAAACAAAAAAAGTAAAGTAAATCAAAAGGGAATAAAAATAAATAAAGTAAACCTTTAAGAATTTAATTAAATTAAATATTAACACAATAAAGAGCCTCGTAGGCTGTCACAGCAAATTGATTCACCATCGAAACTTTTAAGACACAAGTGATACTAAAACATCGAAACATCAAAAGAATAAAAATAAAGCGCTGGGTTACGTTAACGCTGCATAAACATATAAAAACTAACACTGAAATTAACTATCGTGAAACAACACTGAATTACTTAAATGTAACTAAGCAAGCACTGATGGACACGTAAGAGACATAAATAGGTACTCACATAGATATACCACATTGGTGGCGACAGGAACAACACCGAAATAAAATATAGTATAAGTAACAGGTGACAGGTGTCACTCAAAAGCACGTGAACTGAATGACAAGAGGAATGGACTGAACTCCACCTGCTGGTGGGGTACTATATATAAGGTCGGCTCCCGCCAGTGAGACACGCCGGTGAAACATGGGTCGTTTAACGATGCAGATGGTCGTTAGAGAAACAAAGAATGCTTGTTACAATTCTAAATGAAGAAAAAAGATGGGCTTGAACAAATAATAACAGTTAAAACCTTAACAGCACAGGGTAAGGTGACTAGAATATATAATAGTAAATATAACACATCATTACAGGAATAATATGGAACAACATGGAAGCATGTTATATTAAAAAAATAGAAAAATACGACACGGTCGTAACACCACCCACTGCTTATAGCTACCCACACCCTTGCCACTCAGTGTTCATAGCTAGCCACACCCACGCCACTCAGTGTTCATAGCTAGCCACACCCACGCCATCCGATAGCATCCCCGCGCAACCCACTGCCACCCACTGCCTATAGCTACCCACACCCTTGCCACCCATCGCTTATAGCTTACCCACACATACCCTTGCCACCCACTGCTCATAGCTGCCATAATAGCCAACCCACTGCGATAGCATCCCCATAGCAACCCACTGCCCAGAGCCACCCTCTGCCTATAGCTACCCACACCCTTGCCACCCACCGCTTATAGCTACCCACACCCTTGCCACCCACTGCCTATAGCTACCCACACCCTTGCCACCCAGTAGCAACCCACTGCCCATAGCCACCCACTACCTATAGCTACCCATGCCACCCACCCACAAACCTTACCTGTGTGTAGCAATAAAACTCTGTCGAATGCCGTATGATCTGGCCCTGCTTCTTGGTCAGCCAGGCATTACCTTCACAGTCTCCACATACACAATAAACCTCCAATTAAACGTCATCATATGTTATACCTGTACACCATCGGTTCATATCATATACTGTAATTGGATAAAGGCTAATGAGTGTGGTCAGTGTAAAAGTAATATGCATGTGATTACTTTACCATGGCTAATTTTCGTCAAAGATCTCCTGTAGTATTTTTGACTATGATGCAGGATATACTATTATCATATTATTAAAACAACCATTGTAATATTTCATTCATGCCATAGTACATAAACAGACGAGGAGCCATTTTAATTTCACAAGGGAATAAAAGTAAACCATTATTCGTGTAAGGAGTTTATTCCTGGACCAGAGAGAGAGATTTACGTACAGGTGTATCAGATGAGTTACACAGAGGCAGGAACCAGACTCTCCGTGTTGGTGTCATTGATAAGTTAAATCCTGAGTGTTTTATTAGGTGGGTATTAACTGCTGCTAGTCTGCTACTGTTGCTTTGTTTACTGCTAGTCTGCTACTGTTGCTTTGTTTACTGCTAGTCTGCTACTGTTGCTTTGTTTACTGCTAGTCTGCTAACTGCTAGTCTGCTACTGTTGCATTGTTTACTGCTAGTCTGCTACTGTTGCTTTGTTTACTGCTAGTCTGCTACTGTTGCTTTGTTTACTGCTAGTCTGCTACTTTGTTTACTAGTCTGCTACTGTTGCTTTGTTTACTGCTAGTACTGCTACTGTGCTGCTTTGTTTACTGCTAGTCTGCTACTGTTGCTTTGTTTACTGCTAGTCTGCTACTGTTGCTTTGTTTACTGCTAGTCTGCTACTGTTGCTTTGTTTACTGCTAGTCTGCTACTGTTGCTTTGTTTACTGCTAGTCTGCTACTGTTGCTTTGTTTACTGCTAGTCTGCTACTGTTGCTTTGTTTACTGCTAGTCTGCTACTGTTGCTTTGTTTACTGCTAGTCTGCTACTGTTGCTTTGTTTACTGCTAGTCTGCTACTGTTGCTTTGTTTACTGCTAGTCTGCTACTGTTGCTTTGTTTACTGCTAGTCTGCTACTGTTGCTTTGTTTACTGCTAGTCTGCTACTGTTGCTTTGTTTACTGCTAGTCTGCTACTGTTGCTTTGTTTACTGCTAGTCTGCTACTGTTGCTTTGTTTACTGCTAGTCTGCTACTGCTGCTTCATCTACTGTTATCAGTGTTAAATAGGCTGAGGATTAACACTTCCCGTAACAAGTACTGTACTGGGTAAAGCTTTTGAATGAACACTTTTGACGAAGAAATAACTTAAAATTAATAAAGAAAATCAAAGAAGAGACGTAATACACAGAGACGTATAACTGAGGATATTGTCTTAAATAAACTAACCTAACCTAACCAAAATTAGACGAGAAATAGTGAGGAAAGTTGCACATTTTTAGAGCAATATGGAATTTTTTTGAAACAGACGATTGGGGAGGAACTCAACGGTCAACAACAATTATAAACTTTGTTGTAATGTTCGATAAATTAGTTAATATTTATTTAAAACTTGACGTTATATTACAAACAAATGCATATGGTGGATTAAGCTTGATAATAAATGGTCTTGGGTGATTTCGTTGCTACAGAAGACTTAGATTAATCCATGATGTGCAGAAACATACATACTGAAAAAGTTGTTAGTGAAGTGATGTTTGAGTGTCCTTGGAAACACAGTATATGTTCAAAAGCATCATACGCTTTTGTGTTATGGATACAAGAATGATAGTCTCCAGTTTCTTTAAAGAAGTATAAGATGGAAAAAGAACGAATTGGTGAGACCTGATATCCAGTTATGTGATATTACTATAAGGAATGAGGAACTGGAGTGTCAGTGAGCAGCCATTTGTAAGATCACATCACCAGTGGACAGTGGAAAACTTTGCTTAAGGAAAGATGAATTACCACATGTGAGATGAAATTAAGAGGTTTGTAGGCACTGACTGTGTGGTGCAGATATACGGTATATATATACAGTAAAAGACTTGAGTTACATTTATGAATATCTATCCATCTCTTAAAGTGTCACTCAAGTATTATTTGAACTTTCTAATGAAAGTTTTGTATTGTTGAATAAAAAACGGGTTTCATATATATCAATTGTCTTCTCATGAAGGAATCACCAGCCCACAGTCTTGCACGAGTGAATCTGTGATGGGGTAGTGGCGAGACGCAGCCCTCAGTGTATCCAGACCACTGGTGACGATCCCGTGTCCCCCGTTGTCGTAAGATCCCGGAATCTGCCTCAGGTAGAAATAGAACTGCGCTAACTTTGAGGATTCTTTGGCTGAGCCACTCGCCATGAGACCTGTCACCACCTCCGTCTTGTAGACACCACCATCCGTCACCCCGTAGACCAGGTTCCGTCCTCCCGTTCCTCTGTTATGTTCATAGTCTCCACCCAGCAGCGTCTCCCACGGCTGCCCTTGCTTCTCAACCTTGAAGAAGCAGGTGCCTCTGTAGCTGGGGCCCTGCTCGCCTGAACAAAGCAGCATCGTCTGACGAGTGCGTGGGGTGTCCCCGAACATACGGACGTAGACACGTCCATGAAGGACGCCTCCTATGCCCACGTCGAGGAAGATGGACGCACACTGACAGGGCACCAGCTGTCTCACCATCTTGTACTGTGGAGGAGTAATGTGAGGTGGGATGTAGTGTTGTGGAGTAGAACAAGAAATAATATTAACTTTTTCCTCTCATTCTGCCTTCTTTCTGTGTCTATATTTATCTTTCTGTCACACATAACCTCTCAATCTCTGTTATCTTTACCTATGTGTTATCTCTCTCTTTTTCCCCCTTCCTAAGCCAGATTGAAACACACAGGACACCACTGACAGCCTGGTGACAGCATGAATAATAACTATTTCTCCCTGACTAAATGATCAGTATAAAATTATCTCACAATACATACACCCTTATGAGTCATGTAACTTGTAAATGACCAATGTCGATATTGTTCATTGTTTACAAACAGTAATCCATGTTATGTTGTAAATCCTTAAATATGTGTACTGTATAATTATATGATGCAGCAATTGAGGATTTAGTTATAATTTTCTTTATTGGAGTTCAAGATGTATTACTATTATTATTATTATTATTATTATTATTATTATTATTGTTGACGTGGTGTGAGTAGGGCGGTTGGCGTCTTCACTAGTTACTTATCAGACTATGTACGTACAGCTTTAAGATAACACATATAGCTGCACTGTTCATACTTATCACATACGTTCATCACAATATTTAAATTGCTATTTTTTCAGTGCCAAGGTCTGTAAGTCCACAACAGAGAGAGAGAGAGAGAGAGAGAGAGAGAGGACACGTCAGCACACGGTATAATTTGGCATAGTGTTCGAGTGCTGTTTAGTTATCATCATTAATCGTCATCATCATCATCATCGTAATCTCTTGTCATCAATCACTATCACCTATCATTAATATCGCCATCAGTATCTTTATCAAATGTTATCATATTGTTATCACCGTTAATACTATTACCATCACCATTTTATTATTATTATCATTAATATTGACATTATAATTATTGTCAACAACCTATCACGCTCCAACATGCACACCACAAGCTTATTATACTAACTCCCCAAGTCCCGAAGGCGGAAACCGTAAGAGGGTGTTACAGAACTTGAATCATAAACTCACGGGCACAGTAACACCATGAGGAGCGTGAGCGCCGACTTGAAGTGCGTGAAGATGAAGCATTTCGTCTTGGCGAGTTACCCTGGCCCACCTCCTCCGCCCTCCCACCTCCCGGCTCGTGTAGATGCTCCTCCCGGTCTCCAACACTTCACGGAGGTTCTATGAGGGGGGATGATAATAAATGCAGTATATTAAGTCCCTGAAAATGTCAATAAAAAACAAACAAACCTGGAAACATTAATATTAGTATTCGTTTTAAGGACAGAAAAGAAATGAAGAAGCAGTAAGGAAATAAAAAGGAGCACATGAAGATTATCCCCCCGGGGTTATTTCATCTGATTAAACACCGTAACGCTAATGGGGGGGGGGGTTAGATTAGGTAAGCTTAGATTAGGCCAGGTTAAGCTAGGTGAAGGTAGGTTAGGTTAAGTTAGAATAAGGGAGATAAGGTACTCTAGCCATATAATTAAGAATGAAGGGAGAATAGTAGAATATTAATGGGCGAAATTGAGGGTAAGAGTGTCAGGGAAGCAAGAGATTAGATGGATGTGGTCCCTAGCGAGATGCAAACTATGGGAGGATTAGTAAATACAGTACAGGCTAAGAACATGTTTCGAGTGGAGGGCTGTGGTCGCCAACCCTTAGGCATGAGGATGGTACATTTGACTGACCTAGAATTTAGAAAGATGTTATATACTCATTGATTCATTTTTCACTGATGAAGATTTTGGGGAATAGATAAGTAAACGAAACTATACGAAAAAAAATAAATAAAATCAGCCATTTAATTTAATTTTTGTACAGGGAAGAAATAATACCATTCGCGGAAACTTGAAGAAAATAAAGTGCGTAACGGAGACGTGACCGACCGCCCAAGGACCGAACAGGCTGATCAGTGGCGAGTTGGATAAAGTAAAGTAAATTTAGTAAGACAACAATTTGAATCTTCTCGAGCATTTCATCTACTGATCATTAAACCTTCAGTTAATTGATAATATAATTTGAGGGATGAATAGTCAATCTCACCTGTTTTTCCCTGGAGATGATCCTGGGTAGGGCTGGGACCTGGCGGTGCTGCTCCTGAGTGAGACACTCCTCTACTTGGTTGAGGCAGTCTCCGCCCACCTCGAGAGCACTCAATATATCCCGCGGTGTCTTGGCCCTCTCCACTCCACACTCCGTCTGTCGCAGCATCTCCAGTATGCTCTCTATCTCAGCCAGCTTCTTGACAGCTTCCTCATTTTGTAAATCGAGTTTTGATTCTAGATCTCTGAAGCTGTCCTCGACCGCCTGCAGTAACGTGTTGAGTCTGGAAGCTGTGGTTGTATGCTGTTCTTTTGTAGAGGAGAGAGAGGAGATCTCTCTTTCTAGTTTCAGCTTCAGGGCATTTATACTCACCATTTTGGAGGAGATGGCCTGCAACTGGCTGGATTTTATCTCTGCTATAGCTTGAGTAACTGCAAGGGTGCGACACTGACCTCTGGGTGGAGGGTAGTGGTCTAAAGAAAGACACTCTTGACACAACAACACGGAACATCTCATACACATGGATGAAAGAGGTATTCTGTGTACTCTGCACTCCCCTACTGCTGCAGTGTCCGATAAAGAACTTTGATTTGGAAATGAGGACTTGGACGTTTGCTGAACCACCTCCTCCTCCTGCTGTGGTAATTTCTGGAGTTTGTCGATCTTGGTGGCGTCAAGGGCGCGTATAAGCCTGAGGAGTGGATAATTAACGACCGTATCCGAGATTCTGAGAGCTGAAAAGGGAGCCTGGCACTCAGGACAGGCGGCCTGGTGATCCCCGTCGATGAGCTGCCCAACACACAGGGTGCACATGGAGTGGCCGCACCCAAGGTTCCGAGGCGCCCGCTCCTCCTCACCGTATCGCTCCCTACACACCTCGCACCGCAGCTCACTCTCTTCCATCACTCTGAAACACAAAATTAGCAACTCAACACTTGTAACACAATCGTGTTCCTTAACACTCTGCAACACAACCACGGTTACTATACCACACCTCACTCTGCAGCATAATTGCAGTGTTGAAGAAGACAAGAATCCTCTCTCGCATGGGAGGAATTATTTAAAGCTGGTAATTTATACAAGTAGGTAAGTAAATTATGCATCAAGTGCACACACACACACACACTTACACAGCATCACATGAAGCTCAACGAGAGGAAATGTTATGGTACCATCGGGGAACATAGTCCGCCAAGCCTTCGTCTAGTATCGCTCCATCACTGATGCACCCCAGCAGGAGGAGGACAGTGAGATCTTCTTCCTGAAGCTCACTAAATAAGACGACAAAAACGGGCCTTCCTCACCGAATTCTCACAGTGTTCCTCAAGAATGTGGATTTCTAAAATCCTTACCAAAAGAGGATGAGTAAGACAAAAAACCCCGACGCCTTCCATATCCATAAGAGTATCATTGATCCATACAAGAACTATAACTACCCAAAGGTGTCCCAGAGGCCAGACTTGGGGAGAAACTTAAACTTCCCTTGAGACTCCTTGGCGGTGCAGTGGAAGTTAGTGTTCATGAAGCTCACACGATTCTGTTTTCTGTGTCCACCTCGTTCATCCCCCCACTGTGTTGTATCTCAGTCAACTCTCCATCATACAGTATTGTCATCATGTTAAAAGGACTACACTTTACCTCTACGCCGACAGATATCGTACATTGTATTGATTAAATATATCCTAAATGCAGATGGTAGTTACGGCAAAATAAGGCAGCATGTGCGAGTGAGGGTTGGTGGACAGGGCATAAAGTGGGCAATAATAGTTGGTGGATTGGATAAGAAGTGGGCAGTGAGGGTTAATGGACAGGGCATGAAGTGGGCAATGAGGGTTGGTTGTCAAGAAATTCATATACAGTATATATATATATATATATATATTGTTACGCCGTCTCTTAATTTACTTAAATATCCAGGTTCTAGGCGTAACCAAACAAAAAAGTGAAGTAAATTAAAAGAGTAAAAATAAATAAAGTAAACCTTTAAGAATTTAATTAATTAAATATTAACACAATAAAGAGCCTCGTAGGTTGTCACAACAAATTGATTCACCATCGAAACTTTTAAGACACAAGTGATACAAAACATCGAAACATCAAAAGAATAAAAATAAAGCATTGAATTACGTTAACACTGCATAAACATATAAAAACTAACACTGAAATTAACTAACGTGAAACAACACTGAATTACTTGAATACAACTAAGCAAATACTGATGGACACAAACAGAGACATAAATAGGTACTCACATAGATATACCACATTGGTGGCGACAGGAACAACACAAATAAATTAAGTATAAGTAACAAGTGACACTCAAAGGATGTGGACTGTATGACAAGAGGACTGAACTAACTCAAGTCAGTTGGTGGGTCCTATATATAAGGTCGGCTCCCGCCACGCGACCCGCCGGTGGGTCGTTTAACGATGCAGATAGTCGTTAGAGAACAAAGAATGCTGGTTACAATACAAAATAAAGAAATAAGATGGGCTTGAACAAATAATGACAGTAAAACCTTAACAGCACAGGGTAAGGTGACTAGAATATATAATAGTAAATTTAACACATCATTACAGGAATAATATGGAACATGGGAGCATGTTATATATAAAAAAAAAGAAAAAAATACGACACGGTCGTAACAAAATATATATATATATATATATATATATATATATATATATATATATATATATATATATATATATATATATATATATATGTGTGTGTGTGTGTGTGTGTGTGTGTGTGAGAAAATGTAAAATAAAATGATAAATTATTAACTAAAATGCAAACCACGATGGGTTGGTTACAACAGCATTACTATGGCAGCTAAAATGAATACTCTAATCAATTGACTAACACGATAAATTAAGGTTTAATATTTACACGAGGCATGCGGCGTGAATTTTATAAAATCACATAAGTCCATGGGATTTTACATGTGTCCTTTTTATTTATATATGTAATCTATTTTATTTAATTGAGGAAAACATCTTTGTTACTCTACAACGGCTGCATTGGTGTGATGATGACTGTGTTATATCGGAAACAAGTTGAAGTGCATGTGGAAGAGTTTGGGGTTAATAGTAGGAAGTAGACAGCTTGAGAGACACTTACTACAGTAGGCAAAAGCTCTCTTAAGTTAGTCGATGTTCTTTCTAGTATATTTGAAGCCTTTGTCTCCGCGATGGACATATCCCAGTGGGGTTGTGTGCCGTCCTTTGGGGCCGCTGGTCTGACTGCTTGGGTTGTGACGCTCCCACAAACTTGAGTCGTTAACTCCTTTAACTGTTCTAAGGTGTTCTGAAACGATCCCCCCTACCCGTTCGTGTGGCGCTAGGCAGGAAGATAGGAATACAAGTAATGTGATTTGACAAGCTTTACGGATAACATTTCCTCCTCGGCGTGGCGGTTCGAAGAGTTGTTTGTTCACACTGAGAGACGCGTCTTGTGAGAAGTTTACCGCATTTGTTAACAAGGCTTTAAGGATCTCATCATACTCCCCTAATTTGTGGGTGTTGAAGGACGGTGAGCACCTCAGTCAAGATACGGAGGGACACTATTCTTTCCTCCATCTTCCCCATGTCCTAAGGTTTATTTCTGATGGCGACGATGATTGGTTAACATCCAACAGTGCTCGGACACTATTGGCCGGATGGTTGGCTCAGGTGCCCGACAAGACGCTTCCCACTCGTCCAGCGGTGTCCTTATCAGGTGAGTTGATTTCACATTTTCGAGTCTTTTCTCACTATAATGTAGGTTTCTAATGCCTCTTATTCCTTTTACATACCTGTCTATGGACAACATGTACTGGTAACTCATTCACCATAAGTTCAAATACATTTAAATTGTTTAAGAATGAAAATGTTTCCATTGCTATGAAAATGCAAGTTTTGTTGGTCGAAATTTTTAACTTGAGTTTTGTAAACTCTATTTTTGTTTGCTTGGCATAGACAGGACGTAAACGTACTTTTACAAAATTAACAGAAATGTTGTGTGAAAAAAAGGAACCAAAGATAAAACACAGTGGCATAACATAAATTCATAGAGAGAGAGAGAGAGAGAGAGAGGGACAACACTCACACAAGACCTTAATAGTCTTCTCTCCATAATCACACGACGCATTAGATGAGAACTGGTCGATACACTTTCCGAAGCCGAGAACTCTTGAGAATAACTAATGCCAACATTCCACCACCACTAAGACTGTCAGTAAACACTCTACCTAGACTGAACATCACTCAAGCGAGGGATGGGAACCAAACTTTGAGTGGCTTCTCAGAATCTCTACTTAACGAGTTGGCTTCCAAGTTGAGGTCCCTCCGAATCTAGAATATGAACTGAGCATTTGCTTATAACTATTATTATTATTATTATTATTATTATTATTATTATTCATGTTTATTATACCGCCGTTTTAAGTCTCTTCTCCTCCCTTTCTTAATATCTATTTTCGCTATACAAAATTACAATATCCTTTTCTGAATAGTTCTGCGTGAGTGAACAAAATACCCCCCCCAAAAAAAAAAAATAAATAAATAAATAAATACAAACTTATGAAACTTTGTAGATGAGATTAGTTTTGGAGATTGAGAGTCCAATCCAACTTTAATTAACCATGGCGGCTAATCTCCCAATCGGTAATCTTTCAACAGTGAGCTGCCATATTAAAGTACCAGCGACGTAGAACCTGTCATTAAAAAACACACGGTAGTAAAAGTGAATGTAGATGTATTAAAAGATTTTTCTCATATTTATTCCCTTATTTTATCTTTTATCATCCATGAAATATGTTTTACTGTCGTTGTTGAAATTGGTGAACATGACTAATGGATCCCAGTGTGTTAGTAGATTTTATTTTATTTATTTTAAGAACTTATGGTGTGGGGGAAGTTGAGTTCGTTGTCTGAATGTACCTATGGGATTTTCTTGTGTCTTTCTATTATTCATTTTCATTTATTTTATTTTTTTGCATTCTTGCTTCTTTTTCTTATTCCTATTCCTTTTTGGGGGAGAGGAGGGGGGGAGGTGGGGGTAGGGATCACTATTTTATGGAGGTTTTGTGTTGATATGTGAAGTACGGTGTGTGAAAGGAACACACACACACACACACACACACACACACACACACACACACACACACACACACAAAGAAGACAGGCCAAAAGAGAAACGTATATAGATTGGTCACAGACAATTCAGACACACCTCATTCAGACCGAAACACAAACTCACGATAGTATATGAGTTGAATACATATTTTACATTTTCCTGTGTTGAGTTTCTACAACAAGTGAGAGTTTCCGAGAACTTAACCACTTCTTTCTCTTGCCACCCTCTTATCTTCCTCCCACCCTCTCCTGGCTCTCTCCCTTCCACCTACCCCTTCCTCCCACCCTCACTTCCCTCGCCTGGCTCTCACTCTCTTTCCCTCACCTGCATCTCTCCCTCCCACTTCCTCTTCCCCCTCCCTCTCCCTTCACCTGCCTCTCTTCATCCCTCCACCTCTCCCACCACCTCCTCCTCCTCCACCCCTTCACCTGCCTCTCCCCCCTCCTTTCCTCCCACACTTCCCCTCACCTGCCTCTCTCCCTTCCACCTCCTCCTCCCTCCACCCTTCCCCCTTCACCTATCTGCCTCCATCCCCTGAAGATTACCTAACCTAACCTAACCTAACCTAACCAAACCTAATCAGAGCATTGCTAGTGTTTGATCTTCATTAAAAATAAACTGATGGTTAATCCTCAGGTAAAAAAAAAAGGTAATCTTTAGGTGAAATAAGCTGGGAGTTAATCTTTAGGTAAAATAAGCTGGGAGTTAATCTTCAGGTAAAATAAGCTGGGAGTTAATCTTCAGGTAAAATAAGCTGGGAGTTAATCATCAGGTAAAATAAGGTGGGAGTTAATCTTTAGGTGATCCTTGTTTACCACTCGACAGTGTTAGAGTGCGCGGCTTTAAGACCAGGTAGACGTGAACAGGATTACAGGTAGGATCAGTACAGGAGAGCGTTGTGCAGGGATGACTAGTGGAAGGTTTGATGTCCCGTAAGAGTTAACACCAAACAGTACCTCTCTCTCTCTCTCTCTCTCTCTCTCTCTCCTTTTATCTGTTCCCTCACCATCAATCATTAATATTCTTCTCTCCCTTTGCATTCTACAACATCTGTATCTCCATATCCTTTCCCCTCGGTATGACAACAGCTACCCATCCCTCTCTCTGTGTGACACCAACTATCCCACCTTCCCTCTCTGTGTGATACCATTCCTCCCTCACCGCCCTACCACAACGTACCCACGCATAAGGACAGAACCAGACAATGTGATGTAGTCGTGGCCAGAATTAGGCTAGGATACAGACACATCTGGCAAGTTAGTAACGCTGTACCCATACCGGAACACTCAGCATGTAAACTTTGTGATAAACCTTTAAAGCATACACTTGAACACTATATTATTGAATGTGACACTGGCAAAGACTTCAGGCCACCTGACTTATTGTATCTTGAACTATGTAATTACTACATTGAATCAGGTGTGCTTGAGGACATTCTTGCTGTTTATCCCAAATTTGCTAGCCCACACTGATTAGTCTTCAATTAGAATATGACTCCAATGTATGTGATCCACTGACCTACAGTATATATACTGCTAATGAATATAATGTATTTCTTTCTTTGTGTACGAACCTCTGTACTGCATGGCAGTGAACAGTGACATTACCCACATGAATCTGACCTATATACTGTCAATGACTATGATGCATCTCTTTGTGTACGAACCTCTGTCCTGCATGGCAGTGAACAGTGACATTACCCACATGAATCTGACCTCTATACATATATAGCTGTTAATGAATATGATGCATGTCTTTTTGTATGAACCTCTGCCCTGCGTGGCAGTGAGAAGTGATACCACCCTCAGTGTTAAGATCTGACTGAATTACTCAGAATAGGCAAACTGTACGACAAGCTTTGCCCAAAAATTTGTTAAACTAAAAAAAGCACTCACGCCACCGCCTCACACCACCACCTCGGTGGCAGTCTACTTCCCTACAACTCACCGCACTTCTCCACTTACAACAGTGCAAGCAGTCGCCTCGTCCATTACCGACCTTGACACACATATTACCTCTCAGCTGATAACAATTAAATACATTATCGACAACATTCCCGCCAAATAAACTACCAAACATAAGTACGATAATCCAGCAAAATTAGGAAGACTCGCTCCCGTTACGTGGAATTTACCTGGTTTTAAATTACCTTCGCCGTAGTACCTTTTGCAAGCTAAAGCTCGGTAAAGTAGAATTTCTGTCTTGCATGTATTACTGAGTGATTACGATACATAAATTATATAGAAGGGGGAATTAAAAGTAAAGGAAATGAGAAAATGTTGGCAGTGGTGAGGGAACGTTTACTCCCCCAACCCTCCCCGCTCTCCCGAGTGTGACGTAAGCTTCGGGTTGCTAGATTCTCTGCTACTATAACTGCTTCATCTGGTTGTCCTTTTTTAAGTAAACGAAGCCTCATAGATTCTTAGGTAGATTTAACAGTGTATCAAGTAAATAATTTTTTTACGGTATCAATAGAATTAGATTAACGTCAGTTTGTGGTATGCATTTTTCTCACAACTCGTGGCATCTTTTCCCAAACATTCGAGGTACATTGCCGTGCATTAAGATTAAGTGAAATATCTCTCTTTTTTTAGGGATACTAATCATAAGAAAATATTAAATTGACCGTTAAAATACGTGCAGAATATCCATCTAGGTTTATGACCTAAGTAATGTAGTCTATACTCGGCGATCTTGTATGGTTTCGATCGCGTGTCCGACCTTTACATAAGTACTAGATGGCACTACAGGTTCAGTATAAGTGACTGGGTGTGCTCCTTGCAAGCTGCGACATTACTTTAGCAATATTAATACATCTCACAGTGGCTACTGAGTACCTACAAGAGAGGTAACAAACACAACTACTAGGTGGGTAAAGTACTTACTATTTGTGTGGTGGTGTAGAGAATGTCCGCGTGAAAGCTCCCAAATCGTTCCCTGTTGTGTTAGGCAGGGACAATAATTCTGCTAGTCTTAATTTTCGCCAAATATCACGTGAACCATCTTATAACCAAAACCATTTGAGAGTTCCTCCTTATGTAGCTTCACTCACGAACTGATCCACGGGTTTACTATTCTGAGGACACGTAAATGTGGGGTACAGCTACCTGGTGAGCCCCAGCAAGCCGCACAGTGTTTACAAACTGCTGGGGAGCGTTTTAACTCCAAAAATATTGCGCCGCGTCCTGCCATGAGTGCAGAATGCGCAGGCTTAGATTATTTGACTCCCGTTTTGTAATCCTAAACTTTATCTTTCATGTGAAGTTTTAGCAACAAATGTTTAGTTCAGTTTACAATTTTAAATTTTGGTTTCGTGTGTGTCCGTGAATGTTGTTTCAGCATTCCACTACAGGATGCATTTGTAATTAATTTCATAACATCCTGCATATTACAGTTTGAGATCTGAAGATATATAATCTTGTAACCAAAGTTTCTTGTGCAAAATCAATTCGATCGATTTGTATGAAGGAAATAGAGTTGGTTAAACAGTTTTAGTTAGTTTAACAAATTTATTGACAGAGCTGGGTGTACGGTTTGCGTATTCTGAGTTTAATTCAGTCAGGTCTTGACACTGAGGGTGGTTATCACTTCTCACTGCCACGCAGGACAGAGGTTCATGCACACAGGAATGGATCTTATTCATTAACAGTCTATACAGTATAGGTCAGACTCGTGTGGGTTGATGTCGCTGTTCACTGCCATGCAGGGAGCGCTGACATACTGAGAGCGTTGCCGAGTCAGCAACCAATCCACTCAATGTACGCTGGTAAACTTTTGTGGCATCACCAGATATTATTATGTATTTAATATCTACTCTTAGTCGCTGAGCAAATTTATCCCATAGTATTTATATTTAATTATTCTATGACTCGTTTATGCTTGCTAAACATTGACGTGTGGTGATATGGTTACTGAAGTCCTTCCTAGAATACAGTAATAATAACCAGGTCACCTAAAGCTTAGACACCCCCAGCTTATTTCACCTAAAGATAACTAACAACCCTACCATAACTACTCTAACGCAAACGTAACTTAACCGAATCTCACCTAACGTAACTTAATCACCCTAACGTTAACCTAACCTAACCTAACCTATCCTATCCCCCCCTTCCCCCAGGTGGCATTAGGGTGTTTTATCAAGTGGAATAAGGTAGGGTGGCTAATTTTCACGTGATCCGATATTGAATGTATAGAGTTTGTAGCCGATCATTGTCTAGTAGTACGGTATTGTATTTTGTACTTTTGCAAACGATAAAATGAATCTTGGTAAAAGCAAGGGTTCATGGGGGGGGGGGGTCATGTGAATATTACCCCCAGCTTTTATTTCACTTGATGATTAAACACCGTAACGCGACCTGGGAGTTACGTTAGGTTGGTTTAGAGACGTCACCAACCAATAGGGGGGTGACTACGTACTACTAATTTATTATAGCAGTAGTAATCGTAGTAGTAGTAGTAGTAGTAGTAATCCCCGCCTTATCGGTTGGTGACGTCACTACACCGCACTATTGGTTGGTGACGTCACTACACCGCACTATTGGTTGGTGACGTCACTACACCGCCCAAATTGGTTGACGTCACTACACCGCCCCATTGGTTGGTGACGTCACTACACCTCCTATTAGCAGGGTAACGTCACTACACCGCCCTTTTGATTGGTGACGTCACTACACCAGCACTATTGGTTGGTAAAGTCACTACACCACCCTTTGGGTTGGTGACATCAGTAACCCGTTATATTGGTTTGTGACGTCACTACACCCTATTGGTTGGTGACATCACTAACCTGCTCTATTGGTTGGTGACATCACTAACCCGCTGTTGGTTGGTGACGTCACTACACAGCTCTGTTGGTTGGTGACGTCACTACACAGCTTTATTGGTTGGTGACATCACTAACCCGTCCAATTGGTTGGTGACGTCATTACAGGTACACCGCCTTATTGATTGGTGCCATCACTACAATGCCTACTACTACTACATCATATTCAGTACAACAGAACTTAGCCAACCTTTTTCTCGCACACATCCATAGTCAATCTAATTATGTCATTTTTCTTTCTTTATGGGACATTTTCAGATATTTACACATATTGAAGGGGAGGACAATCCCCTAATGGAGTAGGGGAGCTGTATAGTTTAATTTTCACTGTCATTATAGTAAATAACTTGGAAACAATCTGAATTAAAACTTTTACTTTAACATTGACTCTTAACCTTTCTGACCTTAAAAAAAAGGCTTACTAATTTAAGGGATTTTTAAAACTTCACCTTAAAACAGTTTTTATATTTTATTAAAGTGTGAAATTTGTTATCGATTTTGCGAGTTAGTTACTCGTTGTGTTTGTGAAAGAGAGAAAGATAGAAAACAAAGATTTGTGTGATCATTGTGCTTGTATCTGCCCTCATGTATGCATACAGAACATGCTAATGTAAATGATATTTAAAGGATTCTCTATGATATTCTTGTGTTTCTCTAGGTACAGCTACTAGATCATGGAGGACCTTGGTCTTAACTGTAGTGTGTGTGAGGAACGCTTCAGCGACAATCGCATCCCTCGGAACCTGGGTTGTGGCCACTCGCTGTGTACTCCCTGTGTCTCAGAGGTTCTCGCCAGAGACAAGAAGTGCCCAGAATGTCGTCGTACCTTCACAACATCTAGTGCCTCTGAGCTGGCTGTCAATTTCCCCCTACTAAAGTTAGCAAGGTCCCTGTATGGCACAGTCACCTCGCTTCAGTTACAGGCAGCTTCCGTCTCTGCCCCAGACCCTACAAACTCCTGCACTTTAGTCTCTTCGTCAGCCACTTCAGGCACGGAACTAGATGCTGGAAGATGCCGTACGCACGGCTCCCTGCTGTACTTAAGGTGTATGCGGTGTAATGTGTGGATCTGTGAAAGTTGCGTCACTTCGGGTCACTACGAACCTCCCCGCGGACAGTGCAGGGTTTTACCTCTCCCTCAAGCCCTCGTCCAGATGAAGAGAACCCACCTTCAGACCTCATCCTCAAAGATCAAGTTCGCTGAGAAACTGAAGAGGAGAATAGAAAAAGAGGTCTCGTCCCTGGGTGCTGTGAGGGAGCAGCACGCAACCACTGTGGGCAGCCTTATGGCGGTGATACAGGAGGTGGAAGTGGTCGCTGCTGAAGTGGAGGCATCGAGAGAAGATTCAAAGAAGAGGCTGTTAGAGGTGGAGAAGGTGTTTGTGGATCTGCAGCACACTAAGTCCATAGTGAAGGCAGCTGTAACTCTGGAGGAGATGACTGCCGCAACTGTGATGGCTGGCGAGTGTCTGACGGCTGTAGAGCGGTGCTTGTTGCAGGACCAGCACCGAAACCTGCCCAAAGTGCCCAAAATAGTGTCACTTAGCAAGCAGGTAGGTGTTAATGGCTTCTTGCACCGAGAACTGTTTGAAAGAAGGATTTAACAGAAAACGTAGACCTACAGTACATACTTGCGTGTTATTTTTATTACTACACACACACACTTTGTATAACCCGGACCTTAATACCTATTTTTGTTGAGTACACTTTACAAAAAGTTTACATTGTAGAAATAAATAATATTTGTAATGTATTTAACAATATTTTTTCTTTACATATATATATTATCAGACACTACGAGCAGTTCTGGATATTGGCAACTACGTCTACGGGAGTCTGGAGGTGGACGGGCGACAACTGTGGGCGAGGGTGACGGAGAGGGATCACCTCCTACACCTACACGCCCTCAAGGCTCTTGACCACCCACCTCTTGGTCTCATTGTCCCTGTAAGCCTACAGTGTGTTTTGTTCTAAATCTTCCCATATATTTTAATAGTTTTCCATTATATATATATATATATATATATATATATATATATATATATATATATATAATCGTGTAGCGTACACCTTACAGTGTACGCTACACGATTATGGTTGTTTCATAAATAAAATTGCATCCCAACATTAAAGTTTACATTGTGAACAACCTTAACAGAAATAGGTTCGAGACCTTTAACAAGCCAGGCTACAGGTGGTTCCTTATGACAAGTAGTATTGATGAAGAAACCATTGAAAAAATACATTTGTTGCCAGGAACCACTTGAGAATAGTTGGAAATTTATAAAATAAGTAAAATGAGATGCATTGACCGTATACCTGTAATTAGGAATAATGGTGGAGATATTAATGGGTAAAACTGGGGGTAGATGAGCTAGGGGAAGGCAGAGGCTGGGATGGGTGGTTAAAATTAAAAGATGTGATCCCGGAGAGTTGCTGAGTCTGGGAATAGTGTTAACGGTAGCCTGAAAACCTTTATAGTGGAGGGACGTGGTCGCCAACCATCAGATATGAGAATGAAACCGTGATGAATTCCATCCATAACGTATTAGAATTTTTATTTTCTCACTGTTAAAGATTTATAGTAAATTTAAATTTCACATACTTATGGCATATACATGTAATTGTTTGATGAAGTTAGACGTCTCCGTCCAAAGGCTCATAATTTTTATTGGGCAATTATTATTTTATAAAACTGAGTTATAAAAAAAAAAAATATATATATATATATATATATATATATATATATATATATATATATATATATATATATATATATATATATATATATATATATATATATATATATATATATATATATATATATATATATATATATATATATATATATATATATATATATTTTTTTTTTTGTGATTAAATTCCTTTACAGTGCATCTGTCGTAAATCATAGATCTACAGTGCTGATGGCTACAGTCGTTTCATACGATGTATCACGTATGCAAAATATCTACCGCAGGTTGTGTAGCTGAAATGGAGAGGTGTATTTACATGTTGTTGAGTCAGCTGTGGGCCAATAAATTAGTGGCAACTACATGGGATCATTTTAGCCGATGTTTTCACGTACCGTGTAGTAAAAGGAAAAGCACTTCTCTCTCTCTCTATATATATATATATATATATATATATATATATATATATATATATATATATATATATATATATATATATATATATATATAGTATATAGTGTGTTTCTGTTTAACCAAATTATAAAGGTAAACACATGAATGGTGTGGTTGTCCTCTACATTATTTCCAAACGTTGACATGTACAGTACAGTATGTCCACTGTTAAAAGACTGTGTTTATACTCTAACTAGTTCGATACGGTGAGGCAACTGGTCCCCCGCGAATCCCCCTCCATCTTTCTGGAAGTGGCGTGGGCAGGTCAGCTGAGAGGGCGTGTATATGTACGCATGTTTGGCGACACTCCCCGCTGCCAACAGGCACAACTCTTGTGTGCTGGAGAGCGAGGTGTCTCCTATAGCAACACCTCCTTCTACAGGGTCGACCATCTCAACACCCCCAGAGAGATCCTACGGGGAGGAGATTACGAAAACAACGATGGCACTGGGGGACGCGCCCTCGTCAACGGCATCATCAGCGGCGGCGTGTACACGACAGAGGTCACAGCTGGCCTAGTGGCAGGTTGCTCTTCGGAAGGCTTCGCCAGCCTCGCCTGTTTTGGTATATACCTCAGGGACAATCCAGACCACTACGATAAATCTGGGTTTGGAATAGTTACGAGTGGGATTGAGACCCTGAAAGCTGCCGCTCGTCGTAAAACCACGGCAGAGGCCAAGGTGTTGGACTGTGGATTGGTGATCCCTATGTGAGGTGGTGTCCCATGGTGCTGGACTGTACACGCGTGATCCCAGTGTGTGTGGGGTGTGGGGCAAGGTGTCCCAATATGACACTATGTGTTGCATTATATTTAGGTGACGCAGTTTGTCATGTTATGTGGATTTCGAAATCGCATATAAACACACTCACACCACCAAACTCCCACAAACCCACATTACACACACACACTTTACCTGCACATCGAAACACCTAAACCACGAAACCACTCAACCCCCCCTCCCCCCTCCACCACGCACACAGTTAAAAAAAATCCCAAACGTACACTCTGTCACACACAATTCCACAGCTACACCCCAAAGCATACACACACATACAGGTAGTCAGGGGTGAGAGAACTTAATGTTAGTTTGTGTTGTAGTGGAGGTGAACCAGTAGTACATAAAACGTAGCCACGTATCTGTTAACATGATAGTTTGAGATGAAGGCTGGTAGGTCTGTTCACTCCACATTTCACAGCTTTGTATGTGTGATTATTTGTTTATTTTTTTGGGGAATGTGAGGGTCATGAAAAGCTGGTGTAAAGGTGCTTGGTCAATAGTGTAACCACATACGTTAAGCCAGTACTACTTCTTGTTTATAATGTATTTAAGGTAAATGTATGACTTCACTATTACAAGAGTTGGTGAACAGACAAGTCGTGTCAATATTCCTTACAACCTTCTTGATCATTTATCTTCAGACCATAAAAGTGCCAAATAAATTTGTTGTATATTTTTATTCGTTTGGAAATTGATTTTCTGTTAAGTATTTTTTTTTATAAATCCTGTGAAGTATAAGAACAAAAGAATGAGACATATGGAAAAGAATTTTATTCATTAAGTATGATTTTAAGGAGACAGCATTTATTAACTCTTAAAATACAACTATACATCAACAGAATTCACAAATGACGTTGTAATGAGGGTAAAGTATGACGTATAAGCAGAGTAAGAATTTATAGTTGTAGGATCAAGTGAGGAAAGTTTGGTAGCGTGGCCGATTAGTTATTTAACTATTATATTCTTTTGGGAAATTTTCTAAACACCAATTCTAAGTACAGCTATTTATTTATTAGTTACCAGTGGCATGGTCACATTAATAAATCATTATATCGAAGTTACAAGACAATGATTCCCGGACACAAACACGAAATGGTTACATTTCTCACCTTAAGTAACTCGCCCAATAGATCACTCTGAAGAAGAATTTGTCAGTCCATTATATTGGCGGTGTCAAGCCAGCAGATGTCGTCACTAATTAACACTAATCTGGGTGTGTCGAGACAGCTGTGTTTGAACAGGTGCGGGCTGGAGTGTAGTTTCTTGAGGTAACACTGTCATGACCCTGGTTTGACTAATCACGTGGCGGTGAGAACTTAGGTTCATTGTGACCGTGACCTCTACCGGGTCTTTAATTTCACTTTAATTACGAAGGGTGGGTCAACTTATGTGGATGTACACATGCGCATCAGGTTTCTGTTATATGTGCTGTTCTTCTCTGGGCTGTAAGCTATGGTCTGATAAACAATCATTATGCCTCCTGCCAAGAGCAAAGCTTCCATACCAGAGAACTGATGACACATATATTCAGTGGTCAAAGTAATACCATGTGCAGTGTCTAGAATAGCTCTGACACAATAATGGAACTTCACATTTTACAAACAATAACCACCACCTATCGGTGACACTTCCCTCATAGTTACTGATATGACTGTTTTCCTACTGGCTTGGTTTGATCTGATAAAACTCACTAAACCTCCCGCCAATATCAAAGCTTCTGTGCCAGGAGAAAAAACATACACCGTGAGTGACTACAGTATGAGCTCAACTAGAATAGTTACCAAGCTAAAACTCCTACATATCTAGAAAAACATCTGAGAAAAAAAATGCAAATCACATTTTACAAACAATAACAGGTATTATATGGCCTTGCCAGCCCATGTCAAAACAGCAGTATGGTTGCAACACTGCATTAGGTAGTACAAAACATACTGTAGATCAAATGAACTCATAGAAAAAGTGACTGATTTTTCTTAAAAAAGAAATTCTCTGAGGTAAATATCATCAAATGTCACAGAATGAAATACTTCAATACAGTATACAGTACAACAAAAATGCGCTCTTTTTCACAGATACCATTTTTTTAAGCATTATACATATACAACAGCAATGTAGTAGTGCGGCCCAGCATGGCTCACATTCTCCATCTGCTGGTATCAGGGATACTGGCAGTACAGCAGCGGTGGTAGGTTGATCTTTCATTACTATGTATTCATCCAAACGTTTACACAAGTACAGTATATATCAAAGCTTACATCTTATATTAATGAAACAAAGTTTCATATAGTTACTGCAACCATTTCCCAAGATCAGTTAAAAATAAAAAGAATTATATCGCCTTTTACACAACACTGAAAATTCAAGGCATTTGTTAACAAGCGGTCACTACGACTGGGTACTTTACCCAAATATACTTGCAGACGAACCGCTTTTATCAGATGATGACTGGGTACTTAACCCAAATAACCTTGCAAGCGAATCTCTTTTATCAGATGATGCCTGAGAACCTGAAGCACTTAAACTTCCAAAGGTAAATGATCCTTTTGAAGAATTTTTAAAACTAAAGCCAGTAACAGGTGAATTACACAATTTTACTGTTTTTTTACATTCCTTTTTAAGGACTCCTGAACTTGAAGGAACTACAAGGTCAGATTCTTTTAATTTAAAAAGTTTTCTGGAAGTTGGACTTGTGCTCTCAGTGAATAGATTGGAAGTTTGACTTGAAAGAATGGAATTGAAGACACCAGTTCTACCACACTTCAGGATTCCGCTTGATGCTCCTGGAGGAAACTGTCTCATCATTTTTTCGACTTCGATAACCAAATATTTAAGAGAATTTGAATGATCTGCACCAGCTTGTGTAGCTGCTATCAAGTCACTCGGTGTCTCAGCCTTTGCAATGTTGTCCTCGGCGGTCTCAAGTGACTTGGGATAAGACTCCAATTTATTCAGTAGCTTGTTGACTTCTTCCACTTTAGTTTGATAGTAATTCATTTGCATTTCAAAGTAGGTAATCTTTTGTTGAGATTCCGTCTTTTCGTATGTGAAATTAGACTTAGCTGTATTAAGTTCATCTTTCAAATGGGAAATCACCCGTTTCTCTAAACTTGTGGTCATTGCATAAGACTCCTTTGCTTCATCCAGTGCCTGGACAAAATATACTACCCTGCATTGTCCCTGAGGAGGAAGACGGTGCTCCAACGCGATACAGTCCCTGCAAACCCACACCTCACATGTCTGGCATCTAAAGAATAATCGAGAACTGTGTATTTTACACTTGCCTGCATCAGGTTGGGTCTCATTCTCTGTATCAGAGGATGAATCTTCTTTCTGCTGCTGCTTGTTAATTTCCCCACAGGCACGAGCAAGTCTCATTAACGTATAACCGATAGGCAGTTCCTGAGAGGTGGACACTGTTATGTTGATTCGGCACTCTGGACACTTTTTGTCCCTGGTGAGGAGTTCATCCACACACGAGGTACAGAGTGAGTGTCCACAAGGTAGATTACGGGCATTGTTGTCATCATGGAACTGGAGCTCACAGATGCCACACGTCACTTCCATGTACTCCATCTTTAGTCTGTAACAATACATACCCATTAAAAATGCATGCCGGTGGTGATGGTCTCAGCATTATTATATAACTCGATCCCTGGCCCTTCCTGTGTCCCCCTGACCCTTCCTGTGACCCCATGACCCTCAGACCTTTCTTGTGTCCACCTGACCCTTCCTGCAACCCTCTGACCCTTCCTGTGATTCTCTGACCCTTCCTGTGACCCTCTGACCCTTCCTGTAACCCTCTGACCCTTCCTGTGACCCTCTGATCCTTCCTGTAACCCCCTCACCCTTCCAGTGTCCCCTGATCCTTCCTGTGACCCCTCTACCCTTCCTGTGACCCTTTGACCCTTCTTGTGACCCCCTCACCCTTCCTGTGTCCCCTGATCCTTCCTGTGACCCCTGATCCCTAAAACACAAACAAATATATTTACAAGAATATTTAACATGAAATCATTACAAGGCAAAGCAGAACAGTTGCATAATTTTAGTTCCTACTTAAACATCCTTACTCATATACCTAAGAATAATAACACTAATAACTTATCCATTAGCCACATAAGTAAAAGAAAAGTATCCTGACATCGTCAAGGAATTTGTGGAAGCAACTCCGACTCACAGCAGTCGGTGTCAGGAGTTAAACTAACCACCAGTCAGTCGGCTTTGGGGCCCTATTCTTATCGTCACACCCGATGGTGTACCCGACCATCGGGCACTGTGGGAGGTCTCATATATCTACAGGCACCATATGCGTATTCGAGTTAACGATGATGTTTGGTAACTTGTTCCACTCGTCCACTACTCTATTTCCAAAGCAACGTTTACCTACTTCGCGCCTAAATCTAAATTTGTCTAATTTAAAACCATTGTTACGAGTTCGCTCCTGGTTGGATAGTTTGAGTACCTTTGTAATGTCCCCTTTGTTTAGCCCTGACTTCCATTTATACACCGCTATCATATCGCCCCTCACTCTACATCTATCGAGGGAGTGCAAATTAAGATGCTTTAACCTGTCTCTATACTCAAGGTTCCTAATACCCGGGATTAGTCTTGTCATTCTCCTCTGAATTCTTTCCAAGGATTCTATATCCATTCTGTAATATGGTGACCAGAATTGAACTGCATAACCCAAGTTAGGTCTCACAAGTGTAAGATATAGTTTTAGGATGACCTCGCTATTCATGTAACTAACACTCCTTTGTATGAGCCCAAGTACTTTATTAGCCTTGTTTCGAGCAAATACACATCGTTTATTTGGATTAAGATTCCTACTTATCATTACTCCAAAATCTTTCCCGCAGTCGGATTTCTCAATAACATCGGTGTTCATCTGGTATCTGGTTTACCTGTTTACATCTCCTACAAAGAGTACTTTACATTTGTCCACATTGAATTTCATCTGCCATTTTTCAGACCATTCGATTTTTTTTTTTTAGATCTTCCTGTAGTTTTGCAGTCTTCGTCAGATTTAATTACACGCCCTATTTTAGAGTCATCAGCAAATTTACTTATGTTGCTGTCTACGCCGATATCTATGCTTTTATGTATATAATAATAATGGTCCAAGTACTGAGCCTTGGGAACTCCACTAGTGACGTTGCTCAGATCGGATTTAGTGCCGTTAATACTCACTCGCTGTTTCCTGTCCTGTAACCACGCTCTAATCCATTTTAGAATATCTCCTTTAGTGCCATGAGCCTCCACTTTTCTTATTAGTCTTTCGTGGGGGACTCTGTCGAAGGCTTTGCTAAAGTCGAGATATACCACATCATAATTGTGCCCCTCGTCCACTTATTCCAAAACAGGTGAAAAAAATGTTAACAGATTAGTTAGACATGAATGAAGTCATGTTGGGAATCATTGATCAACTTGTGCTTCTCCGGGTGATTTCGAATAGTTTGAAATGATTGCTTCCAGTAATTTGCCTACAAATGATGTTAGACTGATTGGACGGTAGTTAGAGGATAATGATCAATCTCCCTTCTTGAAAATCGGTATTACATTCCTCTAGGATTCTGGTACTACACCCGTTTTTAAGGACATGTTAAACAACTTTGCTAAGGTCATACTAAGCTATTCCTTAAATACTCTGGCAAATATCTCATCGGGACCTAGTGAATTATTAGGCTTTAGTTTGCCTATTTGTTACTAACATTGTTACTAGTCGCTACTATCTCGCTTAATTTATTTTCTTCACTATCTCTGTATACAGTCATGTTTAAATTTTCGGTGGTGAAAACTGTTGAAAAATATTTATTCAGATTATTGCTCATTTTTTCCGTCGTTATCAGTTACCTCGCCGGTATCTGACTGTATTGGTCCAATCTTTTCTCGTGTTTTAGTTTGATATTACTTCCCTCGTACAAAAAAAAGGGGGAAAGAAAATTCCTATGACCAAATGAACATGGAAACAAAATTTTGTCACCCACAAACTCATTTCTATCAGTTTTGAATATAATATATCTCAATATATCAAAATTTGGAGGGTGAAAAGGGTTTCGGGACTTCATCGGGCGGTTACCCCCTTCCAATGAAATGTTCCAATGATCCTGATTGCAAACTCGATTCAACCGGGACTGTGGCATCTCTAAATGACCTTACCCGACGCTGTTCCCGATAGATCGGGTGGTGTAACGAATACAACCCTTAACTATTATGAGCAACAGAAACTAAATGAACTATACTAACTTATTCAGTACATCCAATTTAAATGTCATATTAGAACAAAATATTCCAAATAATATAATTATAGCATAATATAAAATATACCTGGATTTATATGAGCTCCAATGAACCACCACCAATATGTTATTCATTGGAACTCTCCTTAATTCCAAGTCATCTCTTCTGAGAACTTCTATAAGGTCAACATGTCACTACAAGTTGACTTCATATTAGTCCATTTATACAAAATTTGGGATTTTTTCTTAATCCAAAATTTTACTTATGAAAAGCGCAGAAATTTTTACTCTTTTCACCTTAGTTTAATGGCGACATTGGATTTTTATATTAAGAAAACTTGTAATGGCCCCTGTCTCATCAACAGAAGTATTATATAAATGGGTTCTTACATCTGATTTATATTCAGATTCACCCTCTGTAACTTTCCACTGGCTATGAGGTGACATGTTCAATGCACGTGATAAGGTGTGCCCACGGGAAGCTGCGTCATACTATGCTGAGTTAAGGCATAAGTAGCCGGCTCTCTGGCCACCTGAAGCGAGCAGTAGTTTGATATCCTTGACTAGAGGAAGACGTTATTTGAGAGCCGCAGTGGATGGCTCCGTCTTCCCTCGAGGGGGGAACGACGTATCCACACCGTTCTCCCTCGATGGGTCACTACTCAGCAGTCACTCGCATCAACTTATATCGAACGGACGTTGATCCACGTTTATATTACATAAACGCCGTCCTTTCTCATTCACTCATAAATAGTGGAACTTACGGTTGATCTACACTCAGGAATTAAAACATAATACTTTTATAATAAAACGAGAAACTTCAATTGGGTTTTGTTACTAAAATCCCAATATATATTATGTGTGTTCCAACCTGGTTAACTGGGGAATTAAACAGCATTACAAACTTTTTTGAGAGAAAAACATTATAACAGCCCACAACAAAAGCTTCATTAAATAGTAACAAAAACAACCTTATAACAGCCCACAATAAAAGCTTCACTAAGCAGTAACAAAAACAACCTTATAACAGCCCACAATAAAAGCTTCAATAAGCAGTAACAAAAACAACCTTATAACAGCCCACAATAAAAGCTTCACTAAGCAGTAACAAAAACAACCTTATAACAGCCCACAATAAAAGCTTCACTAAGCAGTAACAAAAACAACCTTATAACAGCCCACAATAAAAGCTTCACTAAGCAGTAACAAAAAACATTGAAACAGCAAACCGAATGGAGCAACTTATCAATAATAATCTAATGTACATATATCTCCCCGAAATCAACACTCTTATCGTTATCATCAATATATCTCTACTGAATCTACTTTATCTCTCTCAATCACTTGTAACCAGCTTATTTTACATGAAGATTTATCCAGCATACGGTACTTCACCTGATGATTTAACCCCTTAGCGATAGCGGAGGGGTTAGATTAGGATACAAAAGGTCATCCTAAAGTTCAGTCCGCTGCTCCTTGTCAACCTTCAACAGGATAACACACAACTACACACCAACTGTTTGTCATGTTCTATAATATTTTTTTCGAATACCGTAACGTTTAAATCATCCTCTGTGTAAGTGACATAATAAACTTCTAAGAATATGTTATACAATTTTAAATTAAAAATGTTTTCTTATTGGTTCTACAAGGAGCAATTACCTCTGTCCTGCGTGGCAGTAAGAACTGTTACCACCCTCAGTGTCAAGACCTGACTGAATTACTCAGAATAGGCAAACTGTACTCCAAACTTTGTCAATAAATTTGTTAAACTAAAACTAAACTAGCATAATCATTGTAGGAACATTGATACTGATTAAGGAACTCACGTTTAGTAGGAGCAGCTGTAGATGAGAATGTTGGTTAACGTGAGCAGCTGTAGATGAGAATGTTGGTTAACGTGAGCAGCTGTAGATGAGAATGTTGGTTAACGTGAGCAGCTGTAGATGAGAATGTTGGTTAACGTGAGCAGCTGTAGATGAGAATGTTGGTTAACGTGAGCAGCTGTAGATGAGAATGTTGGTTAACGTATGTTCCTCAACACTACACAGACAGTACACCAGAAACACCACCACTTAGGTGAACTAGCTTGGCACAAGTGGACGTGATGTGTTCATGTGAGTTACGAGTTGACAACGAGGGATTAAATTTTCGATAGTTGCCATTGTACTATACAAACAATAATATATAAACAATTTATATACACTCTTAAGCTATAGCATATGTATTACATCATGCCTATTATATTATACATATGTTGTTAAATTTGGTGCAGTTTACCTTATGTCTTAATGTTCTTTTGATGTCATATTAATGGGCCACGTCGACTTAATGACAGAGCGGGGTCAACACTATTTTTGGTATTAACATAAATTATTAAACAAAACAAACGTGACTATCGAAAATATATTAACTATATAAGACATTCATCAAAAATAATAATATAATTTATATAAGGAAGTATTTTACAGTCGGGAGTAGACGGGTGGGAGGTGGTTGTTGGCTGTTCCTGTTAACATATGATCAACCCGCGGTATTTGAACAGTTGGTGCACGCCCCACCCGCCCCAGTGATGGCACGGTGCATAACTGAACGTGTTTAGCATCCACTAACATGATGCAACATAACAGATTGCCGTACACCTAAATTCAATAAGAGTTCTGGGTATAGCTTTCACTCATTAATTGTTGATATCAAGTTTTATTTAATATCCTGTAATACGCGGAGTACAGTATTATAAAATAACATCAATATAAACCAAAGTTTCATGCCTAAATGTTTAAGTTGTCATAGACGTTCAAGATGACATAGTCAGTATTGTGTGTTGCAACTTAAGTAAACCATTAAAATGACTTCTCACAACCGAACGAATTTTTTATGAGATTTTCTAGGACGAGAATCACTTATTTCAATGTATTCGTCACAATATAATACGTTTAAGTTGAGTATCTGACACGAGAGTTTTTGTATTGGAAGATGACTAACTGGTAACACGACGGAAGGCCTTGTGTCTTCGTCAAGGGCGGCCAGATTGCGTAGAGAGACGGATCGACCTTGGGGAGAGCGATGTGAGGGAAGAAAAGGGAGGTGGGAATAAGATGAAGGGGCAGGAGAGATAGACGAGGAGGGAACATATGTGAAAAGTTGGTGGGGAGGGAGGGGGAGTATTGGATGTTGGGGAGGGAGGGGGTGTTGGGTGGTGGGGAGGAAGAGGAGTATTAGGGGGAGGAGGAGGAATATTAGGTGGTGGGGAGGGAGGGGGAGTAGTGGGTAGTGGGGAGTAAGGTGTGATGGGGAGGAAGGGGTGGTGGGGAGTAAGGTGTGATGGGGTAGGAAAGGGTTGTGGGGAGAGAGGTGTGATGGGGAGGAAGAGGTGGTGGGGAGGAATGAGTGGTGGGAGAGGAGGGGGTAATGATGAGAAAGGACGGGATGGTGGGGAGCTTAACTGAAAGATATACTGGGGAGAAAGGAATTGAGTTTTTCCATAATTAACATTTCCATGAATAATATATCAAAGTCTATAAATAGTGACTGACTTATCTACTTGGTAACATTAAACCGATATGCCGCTGTACAGTTGCTAAAACAACTATATATGCAGGTGGGGGTCGATATTCTCCGAAATTTTACGTATGACTAGTGACAGCCCACGTATACCAAAATTTATCGTCCATGGTCTCATATTGTTTTTATGCACAAATAGATGTTTTAGCTACATTATACATATAGCATGCTTGTGCCTATGTCTCTAGTCGCCGAGGTTATTAATATTCTTACAGTCTAAGATAATCTATCCCTCAGGTGATCCCAAACAATTAATTAAAACATGTGTGGTTATTTATATTGTCATCGACGTAACTATAATGCTGTGGTCCTAAACCTTTCCCACCCGATTTTCACTCTTTTCCGTCTTCCGCTAGGGACATTTTTCCCTCCCATATTCCCTTCCATTAAAAAATACCCCAAAAATTACTACTGATTTTGTTCGCGATCAATTTATATAACTTATAATTTTACCTCATCATTTCCCGCTCTCTAGTTTTCTATAATGACACACAACACTGCACCTCAACAAAGAGATTCCTATCCTACTTAACACAATAACATAAAAGAAATACCTTACTTTACCCTTCAAAAGCGCCTTAGAAGCCAAACCAACCATCGTTCAAACTTAAAGAGCGTCTGAGCTGCATTGGTACTGCCACGTTTTTTATAATAATCAGAGTACCGTCTTTATATCTGAGGGTTGGCTACCACAAGTCCTCCACTCTAAACGTTCTCGAGCTGTTTTTACCAATCCTCCAAGGTTTTGTGTCTCTTTGGGGACCCACTTTTTAATGTCATTCACCATCCCAGTCTCTGCCTTCCCCTGGCCCTCCTACCCTCAACTTTGCCCATTAATATTTCTGTTATTATCCCCTTCTCTTGAAGTTTTTGCTAATCTTTGTACTTCTTCATTCGTTTTCCTGTCATTGTAGCTTATTCTTAGAATTCACCTATAACACCACATTTCAAAGGCCTCAAATTGAAGTCAGTGTCCCTTTTCTATAGGTCTTTTAGATTAATAAATGCTGTTTTGGCTTGCCCTATTCTTGTTTGGATTTTTTTCCGTACGTCTACCATCATAGCTAATGTTACTTCCCAAATACAAAAAATTTCCCACTTGATCAAAAGTTCCCTGTTTGTTGCCTATCATAATTATTATTTTGGCATTTATTTCCAATTTGGAAGCAACCATTACTTTTAACCTCCCTGGACCCCCTGCATCCAGTACAATATTCCCGGGACCCCCTAGGCACGGGGCTTAGATAGAATGATATGATATCTTCCCACATTGTTTGTTACAGTGATCTAAAAGGTGTTTTTCTCATTAAGTGTTTATTTTTCTCAAAAGTGTTTTTCCCAAAAAGTGGATTTTCTCATAGTACAAACATGATACAAATCAAAAGGTCTCTGAAAACATTTGAAAGAGAACAAAACAAAATATTTAATTGCTCAGTAACAAGAAAGTTTAACTGCCTTTGAAACAGGGTAGAATTCTATGAAATGATATTTCAACACAAAAATGAGATAAAAGCTCACTGTATTTTCTCATTGTACAAACATGGGTTCTAAGACAACTGCCCCCTGGACAATTGCCTCCGCAGACAATTGGCCCCCCCCCCGACAACTGCCCCCCATGGGACAATTGCCCTCATACAACTGCCACCTGGACAACTGCCCCCATGGGACAATTGCCCCTCCCTCCCCCCAGTGCCAGAGTGAATCTTATTTACAGCTGACCAAAGACCTGACCCAACTTAACCTAACCTAACCGAACCTAACTTTAGCTTAACTTAACCTAACTTTAACTTAACTTGACCTTACCTAACCTAACCTAGCGTAACTTTAGCTTAACCTAACTTAACCTAAAAAAAATTAAATGTTAAATATGACTGATCCACAAATTCCTTCGCTTAACCACAATTTTTTATCAATGGTTTTCTAATTACAGATTTGTACTGTTAAAAAAAGTATGAGTTGTGCATTTTGTGTATATATTTATTATTACAAATAAAACATGAAAATAAAGCAATAATTCTTAATGTTATTTTCTCCTCTCTATTCAGTTAGTTCCATGTTTTGTGCCAGTTATTCACTGGCAATGGGGGTCAATTGTCCAGGGGGGGCAGGTGTCCGGGGGGGCAATTGCCCAGGGGGCCTCTGAAAACAGTTGAAAGAGGGAACAAGAGGTTTACTTACTCAATAACAAGCATGTTTAACTGCCTTTGAAACATGATCATAATAAAGTGGCATTAAATAAATCAACAAAATGTTTTACTTATAATACCTGCGGATTTTTATAATTAGACACCAAATACAAGCTGTACTTAGTTGAGAACTGCTGCTGGTGCTTACCCCCAGACGGTAGCTAGCCAAATACAGCGGCGGAGGGTAAAACCACGTCCACCGAAGCTATTGCACCATGTCACCCCTGACATTTGTAACTGTGTTGCCAGGCCACGGGGCAACAGACTGACACCTTATACACACAGCAAGCTACGTCACATTCTGTTTGTTTCACTCAAAAACGCACGCGCACACTAAGAACAAACAGTGTGAACATCTCATTCGAATACACGGTGTGTGAAAGTTGTTTTATAAAAAACGGAAGCACGATATGGTAAACTCGACTGATTCAATAAATTTTCCCTGCTATCCTGCGGACCCCTTAGCAGTTTTCTACGGCCCCCTTGGGGTTTGCGGACCCAGGGTTGAGAAACACAGCTTTACAGTATTAACTTTTAAACCATATTTGAACCATATTCCGCGTGAGGCAAAGGACAGAGACACACGAGCCAACCAGGATATAATCTTTTACGCTTTAGACCGTGGACAGGCGCTTGCACCACACCTTACAGTACAAGCACCGTTACAAACTCTTATAGAAGATGTTATGATGCTGACCCGTAACACAGGAAAGAGGGAAGATTCTCCCCTAGAATGCCGAAATTTCTCACCTCCTCCCTGTTGTAAAGAGTACAGTATTTACCCTCCAGATGGACTTGATTGTGGGGATAAGAAAATGCGTCTTGTAATAGAAGAAGAACAAGAAGGAAGAAAGAAAACAAAAAGTAGAATAAAAGGAAAGGCAGAAAGAAAAGAACGAGAATAATAAGAAGAAATAAAGAAGAGGGAGAACAAGAAATACATATGACCCCGCTAAATATACACCAACCTTCCATTTTCTTTTACAAGTCTAATATTTTTGCATAGAGAACGTAACTCTACTCGCAGTAATTACTTTTGGTTCTTTAGTAATTCTCAAGAGTCCAAGACAGTTTATGTAATGATGGATTTACATTAAAGACAGTAAAAAATAAAATAATGATATACAGTATGTTTAAATAAGAACAAAAAATACATTGTATGCCGTTCACAATGTTTAAGTAAACAGTAATATAATTAAGATTTATATTTGCCCAAGACAGCGAAGTTAAGAAATACAGTAACCATTCCATAAAACTGTACACGTAAAAGGAACTTTGTATAAATGTTTTGTAAATGTAGAAAATTACAACATTAAGAATATTTAAGGATCTCCTGAAGAATCTCCACCCCAGCTTATTTCACCTGAAGATTAACC